TTGAATTGAGCGAGCCTGATGTGCTACATTAAAATGCATCGGCTATTACTTAGTTTTTTTTAGGATAAATATGTTCTGTTAGTTCTCATGTTTCTTGGTATAAAAAGGTTTATGGCAATGTGAAGCTCCTATTGGGATAGCATCATATCTTAATATAGAAAATTGTTAAGAGATCTATTTCTAAAGTATTTGAGCAAGCTAAATAAATTTCACTGTCAGCCATGGATCTTTTTTTTTTTTAAATTTTTTTTCAAATTTTTTTTATAGATTAGAATTGATTTCATATCATTGATGAATCCTAATTTGTCACGGGAGATTTCTTCCCTAAGACAATTTCCTTTCTTATTTGTGCTGACATGTTTCCCTCATTGTATTTTAAGCAGAAAAAGAGGTTTGATGGTTCACCTAGGTCCTCAAAAATTACTGCATTTTATGGCTTGAAGACACCTCCTTATGAACTTGTAAGTTTTTCACTCCGTTTCCTGAATGATATTTTTGTTTGAAGATAATTATACTGTTTTGGCCTATATGCTTGAATTATTGAGGCATCTAATTGAGCAGTAAGCTTATCAAAGAAATAATTGCATAGATAGTTACAAATTACAATGACTATTGCCACTTAAGCCATTATAACGATGAAGAAAGAAACCAGGAATTGAGAAAAAGAATATTATATTTGACCAAGGGATGACATTACATAGAAGGTTGTGTTATGATGAAACAATTAAATTAATTTAATCAATTTAAATTAGAATACCAGTACTTCAAATCATTCCGATTTGTTAAACACCCCCAACTTTTAGAATCTTGTTCAGCCAAATTGAGACACACATGCATCGCAAATTTGTGAAGAAAAGTTAAATCACACTATTGTTGGTCAACTCAACAGCTACATAGATTACCACTTAAAAAATTGTGAAGAAAGGAACAGCGACCTACTGAAGATTTGATCACAGATTGCATCCAAATAGAGTAGAGTTTGCACACCATATTTGGCCAATCAAATTCCAGCAATAATTCAATTACATGTGTAGCGGGAATCTAGCTGAGTAAAATATAATTTACGCTACAATAACATAGTTGACGTGCAACTTTAAATGCTATCCCACCTACAATTTCTAAGTTTTATTTTTTCTTTTCTTTGTAACTTGTTTACTGCTCTTTACGCTGTTGGGATACACTATAGTTGATAGTATTTTATATAAATATAAAATATTGGACTTAGAAATTAAAATAAGTGATGATCAACTGTAAATTTTGTTACATTCTATATTTCATGTTCATCTTAATACAAGGAGGAAAATTTTATTTTTAATGACTCGAATCTCCTATAATTTGTTCAAACCTTTAGAGGATGAAAACCCCTGGCTTAGGTAACATTAGATGCAGATTTGACAGGTCATATTTTACCTAACTAAATAAGACTAAGAACATGCATTTAACATTTGAGTCTACTTATATTTATCTAATGGTTCCAATTTGCTGATTGTGCAAATGCTTGAAAAATCCAACTAGGGAGAATCTAGATCTCTCAACAGTCAACTCCTAAAGATTCCGGACTCCAGAGTTTGATGATCTTCCCTGGCAATCCCACCAGCTGGTAATCTTCACTGCACTCAACTTTATTTTCTCTCTATTTGATAGGTGATTTGACATTTCAAAGGGTACAAAAGGGTGTAATGTAAAACAGCAACAACAGAGTGCCTTACATAGAGTAGGAGAAACAAGAAAATTTCCATTCATCATGTAAACTGATGCTCTTAGATTTTTATAAGACTTAGAGCCTATGTGACAAATTGATAATCAGGAATCCTATAACCCTTTTGTGACTCATATAAACTAGATACTCATTATTAATTTGAGTTTATGCCTTCATATTTTATCTTACATATAAAAAACATTACTTAATTTGATTCATGGGTGGCAGAAATCATGGTAATAGCTTGCTGAGAGTGCCTTTTCCACTTTTAAAGGGTGTGGTAAAGTATCTGACCAAACATATATGTTTCTAAAGCAGTTTCTGGTTTAGTATTATGTGATATTTTAAAAATTCATAAATTTTATTGTCCAAGTAAAAGTTTGAATCTAAGTCGTAATTATTTTAATTTCAGGCAGCTGAATTGGAATCTCCAGC